AGTGTCTCCCTTGCATGGGCAGAATCGCATAAAAGAGAGTGTCTGTCAATAAACCCTCAGTTCTTCTTGACCCTTCAAAACGTAGCCTCGTCTCGTTCTTGAAAGGGGAATCTATGCAGCTTAATCACTTAGCTCTTTTCAGAGCTGTACTTGGCTTCCACTCCTGATCCAGCAGAAGGGAATAGGCGACTCCATCACTACACAGCGACTTGCTGGGAAGAAAAGGACGTCCCCGACGGCTGGTCCCCTCACCATACCAGGGTAGCCGTTACAGTCTTTACCTGAGATCCATGTTGTTAGTTGAGGTACGTAGCAGTTTGAAAAGTTCTGCTTTCCTTGCTGTAGCGGGGTAGGTGATTTGACGTCTCCTTAATTCCGTAGTTATACGAGGGATCGTCCAGGATCTGATCGATGCTGGACTATTTACCTCTCCTCCTTGTGTAGCAGTGATAGCTCTAGCCAGAGTGCTAAGCAGGGAGAAATCCTCTACCCCTTCCTGAGACATACTATAACCAAAACAATGAATTAGTGTATGAAAAACCACCAAAATCATACTGGCAGGCTAGCTAAGCCGGATGGCGAAACATTACACTTGTTTGGTGACAGGTGAGGCCCTACTAGTTGCCAAGTGGCTTGATCTATGCGTTGACACGAGGGGATTTGAGTCCACCCATCGTAGTGGCAAGAATTTAGGCCTCTCGGTGACTGTAACATAGAAAAACAGGAAAAGGTAGTGACAGATGAGGCCCTCTCTATGCAACATACGAGGTGGCTAGTTAACGTGTGGCCCGATGGGTGTTTGCCTCTGAAACGTTGAGGCGGGGTGTTCGCCTCGGGGGACCACTAACTGATGGCAATGCCAAGAAGGGGTAAATTGGGAAGCCTATGACCCTATTGCCAGTACTCTAACCTAGGGGGGAGAAATTGTATGGCAGAATACCATATGAGCAGGTGTACGTACCTGGTAGTATGAATATCTCACAGGAAACCGTGTGGTGAAATATCTATTTAAACCTGGACAGCCTGAAAATGGGTAAAAGAGAGTAGTATAGTGATTGTGGACTGTGTGGGAATGAAGTAGACTGTGTAGCCCCTACCAGTGATGTTTTTTAAGGCTTGATTGGCTTTTTACTTGGTAAATGAAGTGTAGTGATATACCATGAGAGTATAAATGTGTTACCAAGGCAAAGTGATGCCTTGTCTTTAATGCACAGTTCTGTATAAAACAGTGGGGAATGTATGACGGTGTTAAGTAGAAAAAGAACATGGGTGAGGGAGGCCGTGGCCTATATTTAAACAGCGTTATGTATGACATGTAATAGAATAACAAAAAAAAAAAGGGGCAGGCATACACAAAAATGCCTTAAAGTGATGTAAAGTTATATAAATGATATATCTGTAATGAAAAAGATGTATGATTGGTTGGATCAGTACATGATTCAACCCGAGAATGTATTGCTTGTAAAAGGAAACTGTATCCTTATGTATGTGTCATAGTTTATAACACAGAAATGAGGCCTGTAATGTAGGCTGAGTCCATTTGAATAAATGGATACGTATGGCAGACCCCTGAAAGCGTGGGAGTCAAAATGATCCATACAGATAAGTGAGCTTGGTTTTGTATGGACATAATACAATACTGACACCTTTAAACAGTAACGGAAATAATCTGTCTATTTAACCAAGCAATCCGTTACCTGAATGGTATATACATGAAATGGTGAATGTAATCCACGAAAGGATTTATGTGTAATACATAGAAATAAAACCGAAACCCAATGTGAGGGAAAACAGAAGTTGGAACAAATAGTTTAAACGTATGAATTTTATGCGAACCGCAAGCGTGTTTAAGCATATCATGAAAAAGTGCCGAACGGCAAAACAACCAAAATGATAACTTGTTTCACTGTAAATAGTTATATGCGAAATGACCACTTATACGAATATACTGATTAGCCGAATGACCGTACGAAATGAAAACCGCGAACGGCTTGTTCAATTTGTGATATAACAGGGAAAACCATAAAGCGAGGACCCATGCTGTACCGTATGCCGTGGGAACCGATCCTGGCATGACAGGTAGGTCTAACTTACGGTTTAGGAGTTCCTGGGACGCAATCTACTACGATGACCGGGGTCAGAAGAAGCTGGGTGGACGGAAAAGGCCTGAAACAGGATTCCTGGACACAGCTTGCCGCAGAAAAACCTTGTGGATACTGAAAAACCAAGTTGGCGTCTGAGAGAACCCGGAAGTGGATCCTCATTCAACGCTGACCTTGAATGGTTAGGAGCAAGGTAAGGGGTGTGCCTTAAGTAGGCTAGGAGTGGATACATATATACTTAGGTATATTATTTTGTTCTACATGTATTTTGAGATATATATATATATATATATATATATTAATTTTAAAATACAGTTAGAACGAATTTACACATTTATTTATTTTTTATTATTTTTTAATTTAATTTTTTAACATATTTACATATTTATGTTATATTATATATAAATATAAAATGAAAATTATATAGATATTTAATCAATATCATTGTATGTGTATTTTGATATTAATATATATATTAATATTAAAATACATGTAGACAATATATATATATATATATATATATATATATACACACACACACACACACACACACCATTCCTGCTTTTCAATTTCATCTAGACCAGATCAAACATAGTCTTCCTATTATTAGAGACAACATTGAATCCGCTCAGTCTTTCTATAAAAAAAATACTCTGATCAGCATAAACAACCTTTTTCTCCTTTTCAAACAGGGGATAAAGTTTTTTATCTACCAAGTTCCTTAATCTTCCTTGTCCTTCCAAGAAGTTTGCTGACCTTTTCATTGGTTCTTTCTCACTTCTCCATAAAGTTAATGATGTCTCTATTAAAACTTACCCTCTTCTGCCTGTCTTTGCTGATGATGAAGAGGAATTAGGTGGAGAATATTAAGGAAAATTGTTTCATACTTACCGTAATTTTCTTTTCCTGATCATTATTCATGGCAGCATTTACTCATGGGTTAGCTCCTCCCCTTACAGCAGAAAGGACAGGAAATAGAACTCTGAAACTGGTATAAAAGGATCCTCCCCCTTCCCATCAGGCAGTCTTTGTAACTAGCTTCACAACTCTTATAATGTATGGGTGGGAACGTAATGCTGCCATGAATAATGATCAGGAAAAGAAAATTACGTAAGTATGAAACAATTTTACCTCTCCCTCATCAATCATGGAAGCATTTACTCATGGGGAATACCCAAGCAGTATATATAGAGGGAGGGACAGAGTTCAAAAACAGCTAATAGCTATACAACCATTATTGAGCTGCATAAACCTTAGAAGACTTTAAAAAAGCCAAACAAGTAATCAATAGGATATTGTCATAAAATCTGATCAGACAAGGAAATTTACCCTAGAGGCTGCAAGGTCAGCAACCTCCTGGCATTCAAATGTCTGAAATATCCTGAATAAATATAGAGCCAAATAGGCATTAAGGCCATGATAGCCTAGTCTAGAGAAGGAACAAGGCTAGAGAACCTCCATGAAACCCAGACACGGTCTAGAAATTATAGATCTATTATGTCAAGAAACAAGAAAGGATAATGTCCTTCTCTGATATAAATTTAAAACCAAATGGATGGCATCATCAAATCAGAACCTTGACAAAGGCTTAACTTCCAGAGATCATACTGGAACAAGCAGATACTATTGGATGAGAACCATCACACCATGCTATAAAACAGTGGGAGAATTGAGAATCCCACTTCTTTCTGGATGTATTTATTAAAGACGAGTCACATTGCTTCCTCTTGCCTAGTGAACTACTTACCTGTAGATACAGGAAACAAATCAATAACTGCCTGTCAGAAAGAGGCAGAGCCTAGTAGAGAAATAAGAGCCTGTTATAAAAACACTGCAACAATGAATATATATTACAAAATCAGACTCACAACAATACTACACACCGTGGATGAATTGATACAGTAATGATCAGTTACAGGAGAGGTATAAACCAATAACATTACTAGGCAAAGACAAAAAGATTCATATACAGATTAGTTAAGAAAAAAAAAAGAAGAAAATACAGAATAAAAAGTATAAACCAGACCAGGAGTAGTGAATTTTTCAGAGTAGAAGCTTGCAGAAAAATAAAACGATAGTAAAGTTATGACCAGGTGAAAGAAAAAGCCAATATTAACAGCTTTTAAATCAGTTAAATTAGATTTTAGAAAGAAAAATAAATATACCATAGAAAACAGTCAGGTAATTGTTTCAGATTTACCTACTTATGAGATCAATAAATAGCCAAATTTGTGCTCCTGCAACCAGCAAGATCTACTAAGCTGTGCATCAGTAATCAGCATATATCTAAAGGATAACACTGCCACCAAACTTGAAAAAAACATTCCCTATCTTGATTAGAGAGGAGATGATACCTGGCAATAGAAACACTTTTTGTAGAATGGTCTCATGTATAAATACATAGGTGTGCACACAAAAAAAAACCCAAAAAACCCCCATTAATTCTGTTAAACATTACCGTGCTCCATTTTGGAAATCAGGTCTCATTCTCTCCTGGGAGAGGCACTCAGACATGTTCAATAAACACATGCAATCTATCTGAAGTGGGATAATGTGTTAAATTGCTTATCCTGAAACACCTGTGGGAGAAGGAATTATTATTATGATATTTATAGAGCGCCGTCAAATTCCGCAGCGCTTTACAATGGGTGGACGAACAGACATGTAGTTGTAACCAGACAAGTTGGACACACAGGAATAGAGGGGTTGAGGGCCCTGCTCAATGAGCTTACATGCTAGAGGGAGTGGGGTCAAATGACACAGAAGGGTAAGGATAGTATTAGACTAACGACAGTTGCAGAAGAGGAATCAGTCAGGAGCTATTAACAGTTTAAGTGATATGCTTTTATGAAGAAATGGGTTTTTAACGATTTTTTTAAGGAATGGAGACTGGGTGAGCATCTAACGGAGGAGGGAAGCGAGTTCCACAGGAACGGTGCAACCCTCGAGAAATCTTGAAGGCGAGCATCAGAGGTGGGAGTACGGACAGAAGATAGACGTAAGTCTTCAGCAGATCGTATGGGCCTAGACAGGACATACTTGTGTATAAGGGAGGATAGATAGGTGGAAGCAGCATTATGTAGCAATTTGAAAGCAAGAACCAGAATTTTAAATTGAGCTCAATATTTTATAGGAAGCCAGTGTAGGGATTGACAGAAGGGTGAGGAATGGGAGGTGCGGGCGGACAGGAAGATGAGCCTTGCCGCCGCATTCACTATGGACTGTAACAGCGCTAGTTGGGAGCACGTAAGACCACTGAGAAGCGGATTACAGTAGTCAAGGCGAGAAAGGACAGTGGAATGGACCAACACCTTAGCCGCATCTGGCGTTAAGTAGGGGCGGATGCGCGCAATGTTTTTTAGATGGAAATGACAGGATTTGGCGATAGATTTAACATGAGGCTTGAAGGAGAGGTCGGAGTCAAAGAGAACACCTAGGCAGCGAGCCTGTGTGGTGGAGCTAATGGTAGCACCGTTGACTTGGAGAGAGACAGACACAGGAGTAACAACATTTGAGGGAGGAAAGACCAGAATTTCAGTTTTGGTCAAGTTTAGTTTAAGGAAGTGGGCAGCCATCCAGTTAGAAACAGCAGAGAGGCAATCAGAGACACTAGTCAAGAGGGACGGGGAGAGATCAGGAGAGGACAGGTAGATTTGCGTGTCATCTGCATCAAAATGATATTGGAAGCCAAAGGAGCTAATGAGTTTACCAAGGGAGGCAGTATAGATGGAGAACAGTAGGTGACCAAGGACTGAACCTTGGGGGACACCAACAGAGAGGAGTTGGGGAGAAGAAGCAGAGCCAGAGAAAGAAACACTGAAAGAGCGCTGGGAGAGGTAGGAGGAGCACCAGGAGAGAGCAGTATCTTGTAGACCGATATTGCGGAGGATGAGAAGAAGCTGTTGATGATCAACAGTGTCAAAAGCCGCAGACAGGTCAAGGAGAATTAGGATAGAGTAGTGACCACGAGATTTTGCAGCGAGTAGATCATTGGATACTTTGGTCAGTGCTGTTTCCACAGAGTGCTTAGCGCGGAAACCAGACTGAAGCGGGTCTAGCAGAGAGTTGGACTCGAGGAAGTCTGTCAATCAACAATTTTTTCAAAGATCTTGGATGCAAAAGGCAGTAGCGAGATAGGACGATAGTTGGATGTTAGGGTCAAGATTGGACTTCTTTAGAATTGGGGTTACAGTTGCATATTTGAAGGGCAATGGAAATATACCAGAGGAGAGAGAGAGATTGAGGATTTTAGTGAGAGGTGGAGAAAGAGAAGAAGACAGGGTACGGATGAGATGCGAGGGAATTGGATCTAGGGAGCAGGTGGTGGGGCGGGAGGGCTGGAGCAGAGCAGAAACTTCTTCCAATGTAGCGGGTGCGAATGAACATAGAACAGCAGAGGGAGTGAAATTAGGGTAAGTATTGTAAGAGGAAGAAGAAAGATGAGATATCTCTTCTCTGATTGTAGAGATCTTGTCAGTGAAGTGAGTTGCAAAGTCTGAGACAGTCAAGTTAGTAGGTGGAGGAGGAACAGCAAGGCGAAGAAGAGAGTTAAATGTGTGAAATAGTCGTTTGGGTTCGCGGGAGAGTGTGGTTATGAGGGTATTGAAGTAATTAACTTTTGCAGAGGAAAGAGCCAAGCTGTATGAGCTCAGCATAAATTTTTAGTGGAGAAAGTCAGATGCACAGTGAGACTTTCTCCAACAGCGTTCAGCAGTTTTGGAGCATTTTTGGAGGTATCGAGTGAGCTTGGTGTGCCAGGGTTGTTGTTGGTGGGGCCTGCGGCGTTTTAATGTACAAGGTGCCATGATGTCTAGTTGAGAGGAGAGGGTGGAATTGTAGAAGGAGGTTGCAGAACTAGGACAGTGTAGCTGAGAATGGCATATGTAAATGTGGATGGGGGGATGAGTGAAGTGGGTGTAAGGAGAGATTTTTATATTGAGGGAGACTGAGGAAATAAAGAGGAGGAGAAAACAGATCATTGCTAACCTGTGAAAAATAAAAATTGGAGATAATTGGAATATTAAGAGCAGGTGAAGGTGTTTTATGGGTTAAGAAAGTGCAGGAGTGTACTAATAAGAGGCAGGTTTTTTTAACCTAACTAAAATGTAGGTGTGACAGACAATCTATAAATGTAATATTGAGCATGGGGTGGGATGGTGTGGGGAGGATGGGCATCAGGCTTGCTCACTGAAGGAATGGGCTTGCAAAGTTGGGGAATCAGGCTGTTGAATAAAGAGATGTGAGGGTCAGAGAGCTTGCAATAAAGGTAAGGGAGGGGGAAATGTATCTAGGTACAGAGATGAAGAGATGGATATTCAAATAAAAACAAACATATCAATAAGAAAAGGGACAAATCAGAGGAGAAATAGAGGAATGCATATAGGTGAATAAAACAATTATGTACAGGGCTAGCAAAACTACACTTTAGCATAAAATACAAGATATAAATACGAGAAAACAAGAAAATATACAATGTACACAGGATATATTAAATAAAAATAAAATAAATGTACAGGGTGGTTAAGTTAAAGATAAATGAAGGTGTGCAGGATAGAGTCTTAGTGTGGTCTTCCAGAAGGCTACCTTTGTAGACGATCAGGCTTGCTCACTGAAGGAAATGGCTTGCAAAGTTGGGGAATCAGGCTTTTATGGGTTAAGAAAGTGCAGGAGTGTACTAATAAGAGGCAGGTTTTTTTAACCTAACTAAAATGTAGGTGTGACAGACAATCTATAAATGTAATATTGAGCATGGGGTGGGATGGTGTGGGGAGGATGGGCATCAGGCTTGCTCACTGAAGGAATGGGCTTGCAAAGTTGGGGAATCAGGCTTTGCAGACGATCAGGCTTGCTCACTGAAGGAATGGGCTTGCAAAGTTGCAAAGGAATCTAATACAAAGCCAAAAGCAGTATGTTTCCTTATCTACTTCATTTAAAAAACTGAAATAGAAAATCCACAGTATGCAATAGTTATTTACCCAGTGCAACAGTGCATTTGTTTTTGTTAGAATTGGGCTGTATTATATTTCAGTGCAAAACAGACCTTAGAATATTTGGATATATTAAATCTACCAATGCCGTGTATAAATTGGGGTTATATACAGTGGCGTACTAAGGGGGGGGCGGGGGGGGCGGTCCGCCCCGGGTGCCAGCCAGGTGGGGGGGGCCATGGCCAGCCCCCCGCCCCCCCCATGCTGCAGCCGCCCGAGC